TGTTGTTGTTGCTGCGGCGGCTGTTGCTGTTGTTGCTGCGGCGGCTGTTGCTGTTGCGATGATTGCTGCCACCGCTGCTGGTTCCGCTGCTTTCGCTCCTTATCCCGCTACTGTTGGTAGCACTCCGCGTTGGTGTGACAACGCCTGTCTCTTCTGGTCTCGGCGCTCCTGCTCCGACCGTCGCCTTTGCCGTCCTGTCCGTCGCCGTTCCCACTCGACCCATTTGGGACACGTCCGTCGCCCCGGGGCGCACCGGAAGCGACGAAGGCGTNCGACGCTAGCCTACTCCGCAAAATAGAGAACCTACCGAAGTACTCTTGTGGGTTTTCACCCGCATGCATCGCGAAGCTATGGTATTCCTTCAAGAGTCTCTTCTTTTCTGCTTTTGCTTGGGGCTCATAATACTTGAGGAAAATCCTCCATCCCCCACTCGGGCTTCCGTCTGACACGATTTCAGGCAAGATCGGCATGAATGAGACGTGATGAGTAAATTCCACGCCACCACAGCTTTAGCTACCTTCTGATCGCCATACTCAGTCTTCAGGTCTACCATGCTGATGCCTTGCCTCCCTACTGGGAGGTCTTGGTTGCTCATCACTACTTCGTACACATCCTCCTGTGCAAACCGTGCTACCATGCTCGATCTGAAAATCAAAAGCTTTTGCTGCTTATTGTCCCCCGACTTAAACACACCATCCCAAGGCTCAATTCTTCTACTCTCAGTCATACGGAGAGTTGCAGGGTGTGGTACTGCACCGATATCCCCTGATGAGGTCTGGAGGCGACCGGCCATGGCAGTCGCAATCGCGTTGGCCAGCTCGTCTGCGGAGGGGTTGGGCGATGGGCCCCCAGTCGCTTGCTGGTGTGGTACCCCTTTTTCCTCGTTCCCTCTCCGCTAATCTTCTGTGCTCAGCTGCTCGGCTCGTTGCCGTACCTCCATCTCGGCCATCTTCTTGGCCAGTTTCTCCTTCATCATCTGCTCCATCCGAGCTGCTACTCTCTCGTTGACCAGTTCTACGATCCTGGCTTCCTCCGCTGCTTTCTCCGCTGCTTGGCGGGCTTCTTCTTCGCGCCTGGCGGCAGCCATCTTGACCCTGCTCTCGATCGCCGCAAAGCGATGCTCCTAAACCAAGCTCGACCGCGAATCTCGTAGACGACGTGTCATACGCTAGCGTGATCGATAATTCGGGTGGCTCGATTCTTTGTGGTTGGAGCTCAAAGCGGGTGGCTCATGGCGGAGCGTGGATGGGTAGAAACGTGTTGAAAACGTATTGTAAAGTATAGTTTTAATCGGGGGCGTGCCGGTGCTCGTCAAACCATCACGGTATCTGGTCACGCCTTCACTCTTTGTCACTCAACGAATCTCTCTGAACCTTCACCAAATACCTCTCGCAACCAAGGAATATATGTAGAAAGTTCCTATTCTTCCGCATCTCATCACTGTAACTTTCGTACGTACATAACATCTCAACCGTCATACTACGCTACGAGTACCCCCAATATATCTAATAGATGCAGCTCCTGATGCCTCCATGGCTTCAAGAAAAGCATCGCTAATGAAAGACGAGGGTGAGCCTGAGTCTACAAGAGCTTAACCGCTGTACATACTGCTCCAGTGCCACTTTACACATGGACTCGCGTCGTAGTGGTATCGCAATCAATCACAAGGTTACTTCTCACCAAATCGGGGCCGTGTTCCTCCAACAACGGCTTCCCCAAATGCGGCGGGGAAGCGGCGGCTTCCCAAATAGCGGCAGAGGAAATGTGCAGCACCTGCTTCAAGCGACCCGCGGGCACGTTCGTCGGCACATCCAACGGGCTACGTGCATCCTCGGAGGAAGAATCATCCGCTGGAAAATCATCACCGGGGGGCGCAATTTCCTGGATAGTGGGACACGCGGGGGCAGGTAACCCCAAATGCGCAGGGCGTAAGGGCTTGTCGGGTTCGACCAGGCGCACACGCATAAGCGTGCGCTTCGCAACGAGTGTTTTGCCCAAGAAGTTCTGACCGGGCCATTTGGAGGGCAACGTCACATGCGGATCGAAGGTACCAACACCAATTTCCCACAATCCGTCCAAAGGACTAGCCTCCGGAATCTGCCTGTCTCCCGTAGCCAAGAAAAGTTCGTGAGCGTCAGCATTTTGGGCGAATTTTGCACACAAAGGCAAAAAGACAACATCCTCGCATCTGAGCTCCCAGAATGCGTGGTCAAAACCTCGCACCTTGCGACCAAAGGACTTGTGTTCTCTCGGGTCGGAGGTAGCCATGAGTTTGGCACAAGCGACATGATCGTCGGAAATGCGGGCTTTTTCCGCCATCATGAATTGTTCGTCGCACGCATTGCGAATGACGTGAATTGAGAACGCACAGGGCGTCCAGTTGGACAGAAAGGACGGCAGTTTTCCAAACCTCATCGTCGTAGTATTCCTGACTTCCGTCGAAAACAGAGGCCTGCCGAGCGGATGCGATTACCTTCCCTGAAGAAATATTATCAAGGGAAGTGGCAGCGGCAACCGGCATGACAAGCTTGGTGCCGCCCGAGGACGGGCCGGACTGTGGGTTACGAGGAGAGGCAGGCAATAGCGGCGAACCAGCCGCAGAAGCGAGCAAGCGGTTTGCGCGTTTTCGCGCAAAACGTCAGCGTAGGCCTGTTCATTAACAGAGGCCTTGGTCGCGGGCGCTCGACCAACATGGCCAGCGGCCGCGAGAGGCTCCGGACCGTTCTTTCGTGATAAAGAAGATGAACCTTCCGATTTGGGGAAACCGTCGCTTGGGCTCGGCAACGGCGGTGGAGTCAGCACCTTCCGACGTTGATGCTCCGCAGAGGAACGTCGTGAAGGGTCTGAAAGGGACGCGATGGGTACGAGCATACCCGAGCCACCGCGGCAGGCTTGGGGCCGTCTCGAAGGTCCTTGGGCTCCGGCGGGGTTGACGAGACCACCCGGAGCCGCCGAAGTGGTCGGAGGCGCGAAAGCCATGCCTCCAGGGGGCGTGTACATCGGGGCGAGCGTCCGTGGGACACGCGAAGTCTTATCGTTCCAGCGCCCTCCCCATTGCATTTGGCGCCGGGTCAGGCAGACGACGCCACAATGATAAGGAAGACTAACGATATAAAAGGGAGGGAACTTCGGGTGCTCTCAGTTGTTTGATCTCTTCCTTTAGCCTTCTTAGACCAGGTCCACTCAGCGCTCACTCGGAGAATGTGGGAGTGGGGCTGGGGTTTTGATCCTCCATTAAGCTAAACTTAAATACCTCACAACGACGCCAAATATCCATATCCAACGAAAATTCAATATACCGTAGGTGTCCCGATATACATGTAGTGCCGGTATGTGCCCAGATGTGTGACCGGCACTATACCGGACAACGGCACTATTCAGACCAGGGAATATAGGTTTTAGTGTAGGAGTGGGCGCTCGTGCTCATATATGTGGCCGGCACTATACCGGGCACCGGCACTACCTACTGTATTCATTAATGAAGCGCTCGCACAACACTCTACAGCGCTCACACAACGCTCATAGCTCCTCCATTCCAATAAACATCCTGTGAGTAATCCAAATTGAATATTATAACGTGATGTATGCAACTGATAATACTGTGGAAAAAAAAGCATACTCAGATGTGCCAGAACTCGAGGAGGTGGCGCGGGCAACGAAAGGCCTCAAGAACTGTAAGGCACCCGGCCATGACTCCCTCCCTGCCGAGTTGCTCGAGATCGATGACGACGAACCCTTCGTCCTGGGACACCTCCATACCATCCTCCTCAAGGTATGGAACGGAGGAGATATTCCGCGAGAGTGGAAGGATGCAACCATCAAGGTGCTGTACAAGAAGGGTGACCGGTCCAACTGTAACAACGGAAAACCAGAACCTACTCACGCCTATCGTGGCTGTGTAGAGCGTGGTCCAAGGCTTGTGCGGCATCCGCTACCCGAAAATTCCGCTGTACCAGTCCACAAAAGCGAGAATGACGTCACGCTCGGCGAGTGTTGTCCTCGACGGGGGGGCCTTGCGACGCTGCGGTTGATGCAGCAATTGCGCGATAAGCACGGACAGGATTGAGAAAGTAGTCTAGTACTTCTATTGAAACGTGCGTGTTTTCTTTGGGGTGGGGGCCTACGCCTGACCAGTCCGAGTTCGGTCTCAAACTCTGTGGTATTGAAATAGGTGCATTGACATTGGTGCTACACTGAGATGTGGCATGCCAACGAGACCTTGTGGCAGGCGAATGGGTGATGAACACCCCACGCAATGGCGCTACTCTGTGTACAGACACTGGCAACAAACACCCAACCCGCCGTTTCGTATTGTACATATCAACAGCAAATATTGTACGTACCTGACGTTAGCCGATGCCCTGGACCCGGGCGTGCCTTTTGCAGCATAGATCAACTTTCCACATACCAGCCGATTACTCGCGTACAGCTTGCTCTTGTGCTGTTCTTCGATGGGGACACGCTTAGCGATGAAGTTTTTCCGTGCTGCCTCGTCAGGCCCCAAGTCGAGGAAGCGCTCTCGCTCTGCCGTGAGGAGATCGAGCCGGTAGTCGCTGTTCCTGGATCGGCAAACTTTGAAGCACACGAACCAAGGCAGCATGCCACGTTGAGGACAGCCTCGAGTTCTTTCGCTTTGGCGTGCCGACGTTTCTTTTGGCTGACTGTGGAGATCCTGCTGCAGGTTGAGCAGAGGGCAGTGAAGACAATCCTGAGCCAGACTGAGGTGGACGCACGTCGATGTTGGTAACCTCCCGTGGGATCGGCCCGGCGCCGAACAAGAACTCGAGCGCCCCTGGGGCGAAGGAAATCGTCCCCGTCAGCGGGGATGTGTGGGCGATGATGGCAGCAGCCAACCACAGCCAACGCCGCATGGCTCTGCTGGCTGCAGGGGGGTGTGCTCAACCAGGGAGGCAAAATCCAGCTCGGTCATTTACGGAGAATTCAATGTCTCCGCGCCGATCGGATGGGTGATACTCGCGACGGACAAGATGTGGCACACTCTAGTATTGAACAATAGAATGACCCGTTCGGTCGTCGGGAATTATTTCACAAGGATAGGTTTCTCTTGAGGAATACGCCGAATAACTTGCTTCGGGTGAGCATTGTGATCGATGTCCTGACAGTACATAACATTTCCGGGGAATTCGTTCCGGTTTTGCGCGGTCCGCCGGATTCTTTGACGATGCAACGCAGCCAAAAGAGGGAGCAAAAAAATTTCGAGGGGCCAATCGGCGGGCCGAAATTATGTGTCACCATTCTCTTAGCAAGTAATTGACCACGAACTTCGGCCTCACGGTTGGTCATTGTTGGCATCGTCTCGGCGTCCGGGTGGCGAACCAATCACACCACACTCTGAAGCAATAGAAGAGCGCGATCACGCCGATTGCTGACAACAGCAACGACAACTACTAAGGACAGGCAGCGCGCTAGGCGGCGGCTGTGCTCTCGCGGTCTACATCAGGGCTGTACTTGCCAACCAGAGATATAGGGAGAGGGAAGGCGTGCACAGAGAGCGACGACCGGGCCGTAGCGAGGTGAGAGTCACGCTCCGCATGCATGCCTCGCGGTGTCTCATCTTGCCGTATGGACGCGCTGGCACTGAGTTTGCCGTGTGTCTCGATGGAGCAAATGTCGTCTTTGTTGGAGGCACACGTCGAACACCGGAGTCGACTCGTGTGCGTGGAAGTAGATACGAACACACCTGTGCGCCTGGACCATTCCATCGGGCATGGCCAATGCTGCGTGCATGGGCACGTATTTTCATGCATCAAGAAAGACGAGTGTCTCGTGTGCGACCTGTTCGTGCGTGGAGGTAGAATAGTCGGATTGCACCAAATCACGGGCGGTTTCGTGTACCGCAGATGGGATTGCCTTAAGGGGCAGCTAGGAGAGACCTTGAGATACGAGTTGCGGGCCCCCTTTTCGACTGGCTTTGGGCCTGGCACTCTTCCTCCCTCCTTCTCCCTCATGTCCCCCTACGATAATACATGCCGTTAACAACACTCTTTGGACTCTGGAGGTCACACAACAAGGGCATACCAACATTCTAGAAATGCATCCTCCGGAGGAGGCCGATGATCTTCAGAGTTCAGCTGTGGTGAGAAGCAGCAGCAGGAGCGTTGTGCGTGATCCCGTGGTAAGGACATTACTGAGTGATACGACGCGCGAGTTTTGACTAGGGTTTCGAGTTGAGGCGAGAACCAGGGGTGTAGGAGATGATTGGCAGGCTGCCATCGCTTCTGCAGGCCAAGTCGGGTGGGCGAGGCCAGGATTAGTCGGGCCGTGCTGCGAGAGGCACGGCAGGTGCGGCGGGATTTGTGTGTTCTACCGAGCAGCCACCAAAAGCTGCGTGGTCGTCAGGGAGGGCGACACTGCGGGAGGAGAGAGCAGCAGTAGGCCGGACGTGGATGGCGCCCTGGTGCGGGCTGTTGAGGTCCCTGCTGAAGGTGTGTTTGGTGCATTCAAGTACACCAACTCTCTCCGTCTGTTGTAGAAGTTGTGGCAGAGCTGTTGCACAGCAGAGTTGCTACCGCTGGGGGCACTAGCGAAAGTGTCCCAGCGACCGACTTATCCACTCAGGAGGGGTCGGACGAAGTTAGGCGGCGCCAAGAGGATGCTGTTGACGGTGGGGATGCTGTGTAATGCATATCCACCAGGAGTCCCAACGGGGGCTCCATAGAGCGGGAGCACGGAGGCTGCCGCTCGCCCGCAGGTGCGGGTCGTGGGAGCAGAGGAGAGTATCCGCTACTCCCGAGCCGGTTGCTATATCGGTTTGTCCCCATTAAAAGGGCGTGTAGGAGGGGGCACGCGGAGGCGGTGGAGTTCTGCCGCCTGCACCCCAGCAGCATGGAAGGAACACAAGACCGGGAGATGGCCTGGAGGTATACAACACCAATGTCTGCTGGGGCGGGTCTGGAGACAAGGCCGGAGCGGGAATGCCCGCGGGTTGTACCCGCAAGGTATGTGGCCCGCGAACACGGGTGGAGAACACTCGTGTACACTTGAGAGTAGTGTGTGCTCTCTTGTGTTTATCCCCATTAAGGAGCGTGTAGGAGGGGGCACGCGAACCCAACCCGTCGTGTGTGCGGGGAAGGGTACCAGAAAAATCTTTCTGGCCCCGATGGATATGCGAGGAGAGAAGTGCTTCCTGGCCCCGATGGATAGGCGGGGTATCACGGGAGTTGTGTGAGAAGTGCTGGAGTATTTGGCCACACCCAGCAGCACGGCAGTGGCCGTGGCTGCCTTCTACCAAGAGCGGGAAGGGGGCAGCGAACATCAAGGCGCGTGGGGTACCGCGTGCACTCTACATCATCAGCTGGCGGGGCCCGGAAATACGTAGCTGTGGGATGGTGAAGTTCAAAGACACGAGAAAGCCGTCGTGTGCCTGTCTGCTACACCGCTACACCGTAAGACGT